GCCCGTTCGCGACATCGTGCTTCGTGCTCGGGCCGCGGATTTCAAGGATGCGGCTGAGCGCAAGTTCTTGCGTCGTTTGCTAGCTCGGTGGCGGAACACGCGGATGCTGAGCCGTGACAGTGCAACCTTTAACAACGCGGGATGAGGCGTGCGACCCGGATTGGGAAGTCACGCCACCGAAGTTCAGGGCTTCAGGAGTTCGGGCGACTTGTGTTGGAGGGGGTGCCTGAGTGCTTAATTGCTGCATGAAAACACCTAAAGCAACGAGGGTCTTTTGGGTTTAGGGCTTAGGGGGTTTAGGGGGTTTAGGGTTTAGGATTTACGGCTTCTAGGATTGGCCGTGCGATTTGTCTTAAAGCGCACTGCCCTTGTGCCCTTCGCACGCTTGTCGGGTCGGCGGTTTACCCATTGGCCCCATAGTAGTTCCGTTTTGGGATTACCTAATAGGATCCTACATATAAGCCACAAAAACGAACTACTATCGGGCCTATGGGTAGGTTTCAGAGTGTTCACTATAGTTTCTCGACTGCTCTTGATGCCAAGCCCAGCCCTGCCTAACGAGGCGCTCCGGCTGTCTGAAAGGATTGAGGCCCCAAAAGGCTGCAGAAATCTGAGGATCCCAACAGAGAGGAGGGTTTAGGGTTTGGGGAAGCCTAAACCCTGAACCCTAGAGGCTTGAACAAGTAGAATAGGTCTTGGAGTTTTTTTTGCATCGTATAAGCATGTAGCGACTGGACGTGAGGTATGATTGAAACCAACCTTCAGACCCTTTGTTTAGATTCTGCACAAGCAGCCGCAGCACGGGAGATTCCAGCAACGTTATGTAGTTTTAGCTTCCTCAGACTTAAACCCCACACACTCTTTTTGAGATCCTTGTGCTTATGTGGTCTTTTGGGCCCCCGAAGATGGCCGGCGACTAAAACTCAGTCGATCTGTACAAAGCTTGATGCTGTGGATTTCTTGAACAAGATTTGGGGGGTAGCCTGAGGACGGGTGGGGAAATAACTTAAGTTTGGCGTCCTGATAACGAGCATTATGCTGTTTGGCATTTGCATTCAGGTCCCTGATGTCCTCATTCATGTTGCTACTATGGCAGCTCATACCTCGCAGTTGTTGCTAGTATATGTTTCTATCGAGTATAATCACTCTCATTTCTTTGCCCATCGGTGCTCTTTTTCTGTCAATGCCTAGTGGCGCTGATTCTTTTGCATGACGGAGCGTAAACCTAGGAGTCCTTCGACAAAAACATTTCCACGACGACAGAGAGTTGGAAGAGTCCGAACCCCTTAGTGGAGTTTAGGGCTTAGGGTTCTGCTACCACTACTACTACTACTACGACGTCGACGACGACGATGACGACGACTACTACTACCACCACCACCACCATCGCCGCCGCCGCCGCCGCCGCCGCCACCACCACCCCCCCCACCACCACCACCACCACGACGACGACTCATAAAAAAATAATCACAGTAATAATAATACCAGCAATAGCATAACGAGAACACCAGCCTTGTTTCTTTAAAGCCTAGAACGAAAAACCCTACATGCAGGCAAGAAATCTGCAAGCTTGGTTTCACCCACGTAGCTAGGACCTCGCTTGAACCAGCCTGAATGGCCAAAATTGGTCGGGCCGGGCATGAGTACATGCTCGTTTTCAGGGTTTAGGAGTCTCGGGCTTAGGGTTTAGGAAGCTCGGGTTTAGGGGTTATGTCGGTGTTGGGTTTAGGTATTTGGGGTTTAGAGTTTAGGGCTTTGGGTTGAGGGTTTTGGTTCAGGGTGGAGGTTGTCGCGCAGATAGCCAAGGGTACAACTGGTGAAGCTCCTATGCGGATTGCATAGGGTGATTCTAGTTGATCACTGCCGTAAGAGGGTATCTGGGACCATAACCCAAGACTCCAAAACTTAAGTCGCCGGTTTACTAGGAGGTGTGGGGAGCCTTTTGAGATGGCAGAATGTGGCAGAGTTTTTGGCATGTTCTTGGCCGCTGTCAGCATTTCAGACTCCTGCCGGACCGCTTTGCAGTCGATCTCGTCGAAATCAGTCGTGGGAATGCCGGGCATGTGGATGCGTCGCGCAGTGACGCTGATGCTTGGTGCAGGCAATAGGGAGAAATATCTGATGTTACGAAAAGTTCTATGTGTTCGGAAGAGTTGGAAAGTTGGCCCATGGCCACCATGTTCATAGGTGAAATGGTAGCATACAAGCATCCATGCATCCCGTGCACATTTGTCGTTGAGATGTTGTGTATGTGCGCGTTCAGTTCAAGCCTTGCCTGAGTCCCTGATGTGCGAGGCACACATGCCGCAGTGGTCCTCCAGAAGAACACGTACGAGACTTCTGGCTGCACCGGGCAAGTGGTTCGCACAGAGTACATGGTCACCGGCTGCGTGCAGAATGGCGGGGGCAGTGGGTTCGCTGCAGTGAGCTGCAACAGTACTGGGGCCTCCTTGGCCATGCACACTGATGCGGCATGTGCTACTCAGTAGCTGAGTGGATACACTTTACACTTTTTTGGATAATATTACCTACTAGAAAACTGAAAGTGTACACTTTTCTGGGCTTATGAACTCAGCAACTAAGGCTGGCAACACTACGGAGGAACAATCCTTCGATTTGTCAACATGCATCGACGAGTACAACAAGTACATGTCCTGCACGGAGCAGACCGTGGTCACCATGAAGATGTACACTGCAGCAGGATGTACCCTAAACCCTAAACCTTAAGCCCTAAACCCTAAACCTTAAGCCCCAAACCCTAGGCCCTAAACCCTAAGCCCTAAACCCTAAGCCCTAAGCCCTAAACCCTAAGCCCTAAACCCTAAACCCTAAGCCCTAAGCCCTAAGCCCTACACTGCAGCAGGATGTAACCAAGCGAACTTGGGGGCGGAATACTCGATGCCGCTCGGATGCCGTGCCACGGGCATGGTGTCCAACGGTCAAGTCACAGCTATGTCTCAGAAGCTTAGTTGGGTTTAAGGTTTAGGGTTTAGGGTTTAGGTTTGGTTCCCCCAATACCCAACCTTTAAGCTTTTTGGGTTGTGATAATTTAGTAGTAATCTGAAAGTTGAATGTTTTTGCCTGGCTTATTGGGGAAGTAAGGAAGCTGGAGCTCAACAGCAACAACAACCTCGTGAACAAAATGTACAACGCCAGCCTTGACTGTTCGGGTACTCACGTGGAGGTGGAGCTCCCCTGCGAGCAGGCACATGAAACCCTAAACCCCAAAACCCCAAACCCTAAACCCTAAAACCCTAAACCCTAAGCCCTATAACCGTAAACCCTATCACCCTGTACCCTATACCCTAAACCCTAAACCCTAAACCCTAAACTCTAAACCGTATACCCTATGGCCCTAAACCGTTCCGAAAGCGCGGAACCGGCCCTGAACTTTCGGAGCTTTCGGAGCCTCTGGCAGAAGAGGCGTCGACAGAAGACCCAAAGACACAAGAGATGCTCAACTCCCCAAAGTTTAGGGTTTAGGGTTTTAGGGTTTAGGGTTTTGAGTTTTAGGGTTTAGGGTTTTAGGGTAACCCTCAACACCCCAAAGTGGAGCTCCCACCCCGCTTCTACCGACAATACACCCAAAACCTAAAACTACCCCGAAGGGTTTAGGGTTTAGGGTTTTAGGGTTTAGGGTTTAGGGTTACCCTAAACCCCTAAACCCTAAACCCTAAACCCTAAACCCTAAACCAAAAACCCTAAACCATGAACCCTAATGGTTTAGCCTGCAGGTGTGCGTGGACGGCAACACCAGCGATGCATTGCCGGATGGCTGGTTCGCCTATCAGGGATCCTGCTCGGTTCAAGGTGCGTGTCCCCTAAACCCATAGGGTTTAGGGTTTAGGGGTTTAAGGTTTAGGGTTTAGAGCTTTGGGTTTAGGGTTTAGGGTTTGGGGTTTAGGGTTTAGGGGTTTAGGGTTTAGGGTTTAGGAGTTTAGGGAGAAAGCCCCCTCAAACTCTGAGCCTTTGAAATCCTATGCCCAAAATCTAGGACATTTCAGGTGGGCAGTTACCGTTATAGGAGCCGTATAGAAGGTCTATATACCTTATAGAAGCCTTATAGGAGCCTTATATGCCCTAAACTATTTACCTGTAGTTTCCTTTAACAAAACCCAGCCCAGAATTCTGAACCGTCAAGTTCTAAACCCACCCTAAACCCTAAACCCCTGAACCCTAAACCCAGCCCAAAATTCCGAACCGTCAAGTTCTAAACCCTACACCTGGACTTTTCTGGGTGCTGAAGAAATTTAGAGGGCCTCCCACCGGCTTTCAGTATCTTGCGACTTGGGCTTATGAGTTTTGCAAAGGGGTTCAGGCTTTCGGGTTTAGGGTGTAGGGTTTAAGGTGTACCTTAAGCTGCCAAAACCTACTTGTTTGTAGGGCCCCTATAAATTCTATATTGGGGTTTATAAGAAGGACCTACAAAAAAGTAGGTTATCGCAGCTTAAGGTAGGGTTTAGCCCTCGAGCGTTTAGGGTTTAGGATCGGGGTGAGTTGAGCCATCGTACCGAGACAGATTGCAGCCTAAACCCTCCAGGTTCAAGAAAAGAAAAGTTCAAACCCAGGTTGAGGGTTTAGGGTTTCGGGGCTTCGGGTTTTGGGTTTAGGGTTTAGGAGGTGGAACCTTACGCCAAAACCTAAACTGCCCACGGTTCTCAGCGCAACAAGGTTCAGGGGATGAAGCCGCAGCAATAAATCCAACAGGCACTGTAAGCCCACAGACCCTAAATCCAACACGCCCTAGAAGCTCTAGAAACCCAAGAAACCCTACAAGCCTATAAACCCTATCCTGGACATGAAGCCCTAAAACCTTAACCCGACGCCCTAGAATCCCCTATAAACCCTCTTCCCTAAACAACGAGGTGGTGGCGTTGCAGGTGCCTTGGATTGGAGACCACATAATCCTTAGAAGTAGGGGCCCTACACCCTTGTACTATGAGTTTCTTTTCTGGTATATTAACCCTTAAGTCTTGTAAGTAGTGTCCCGAGAGCCTTATACTGTGAGTTCCTTTACGGAAACTTCAACCCTTTTTGGGTTCTTTTGGTTGTTTAGGGTTTAGGGTTCTTTTGGTCCTTAAGGTGCTACAGGCCTTTCCGTTGCAGCCGGCACGTTGGTGTCTGCACTCGCTGCGGTGGTTCAAGGCTGAGTCAGCCGCGGCTCTAACTAATATGGGGGTCTCGGTTGAGGAACTACTAAAACATACTGAATCTATTCCTGGGGATTCATTCGTAGAGTAATACTAGACTATACCACTCTACACTTCTTATGTTAGGTCAGAGGTTGTGCACGGGGGTTGCTCACCTCGGCAGGGTAGGGCCAAAATGCCCGGACACTTGCCACATCTTGCCACAGCCTGCAGTACATGCAGCTTGTACTTTCCTTGTTTTAAGTAGGCATTAATTAGCCAAAGCCAAACCTGGCCCTCGTTTCAAACCTTTCAAGGTTCTCAAATGTCAAAGTTTGGGAATCCACGCTCTTGTTTGAAATCACCTGGTCTTTCAGCTGCTGGACCCTGAAGTGCACCCACGAACCATGCCAACCAGGTGCTGTACAGGTTTGTGATTCGTTGAACCCCCACCTCTGTTGCAGCAGAGACATCCATCGTAAAAGAACTTCCAGCCCCATAAACCCCATACCTATTCCAGACCAGCCCCTCAAGAATGTCTGGCTCCGGGAGACAATTTCACGACCTGAACATGACACGATTCATATATTATTTTATTAAATCTCGATAAGGAGAGTATTGTTGGGAAGGTGCGAATTATGGTGAAAATCGTGGAATTATGGGTGAGAATGGGTCGGAAGGAGTGGAGTAGGGCGAGGGTATATATATATATATATATTTATTTAGTTATTTATTTGTTTATATTAAATGGAGTATTTTGCGAACTTCGTGAAATGATGGGCGAAGATTTATCTGCGGTAGCAACGAATATTATTACATATTAAGATAAGAAAGATATATACAAATTTTCTGATAATTCCGCCCCTTGATTAAGCCCTTGCATGAAATAGATTAAAAATATTTTCTTGTCAAGTAATATATTCAAACAGTCTCTTAGAGATTTCTATTCATTACTATCTATGTGCGCCATTCGTCGAGACGAAGATATTTACTTTTTTGATGCTAGTGTTGGTGTCAATGTAAATGCTAATCTCACCATTAGTATTGGTATTAATATGGTATTTGCACTAAATTTCTTATAAGTTGATAAAGCAATAGTAATATTTGATTAGTATTCGTATTAGTATTCGTATTGATCTTAATCATAAAATTTATAGATATGTATCTATATATTTCTATATATCAATAAATTAGGATATTTATTGTTTTCATATAATATATTGATAAAATTAAAATAATGATATATTGGTATAGTAAAGGAAAATATTGATTCTTTAGTAATTCATTTTTATAAGACATATATTCGTATAATACTATATAGAAAATATTTAAAAATTATTCGTATTATAATATTTATATTTATTTCTGAGATTTTTAGGATTGATTATTAAAATTAATATTCGTCTAAATTTTAGGAATATTTTTAATATTAATATTTAAATTAATATTGATATGAATATAGATATATTTATTCTTAATAATATTGA